ACCTTTCTGTAGGCTTCAGTTAACTGCACCTACCAAACTGTTTTTAAAAGTTCAACTTTCTCAGTGGCCCTTGATTTTTGTAATAGACTTCAAGCAATAACTTTTGTTTGAAAGCCAGTTAGAGAGTAAGGTCATTCTTAATTTGATAAAATAAGAATTTAATTATTTCAAGAGACACAAAAATGGAAAATATAGAAGAACTTTTGGAACTGCCTTTTGCAGTAAAGATCTTCCATGTCTTCTAAATTCAGTCTGTTCTACCCTACCTGGGATGATACTGAATACTTCATATCCTCAGAGTATTGTCTGATTACTTCAAACAAAAGAACCCCTTTTCATTAATTAAAAACAAAGAAGAGGAACTAAATTTATTGTCTAGTAGCAGAGGTCCTATATCTTAAAAAGAACTATTGGGATACTGTGTCATCATCTAATTAGAGCAGTATTCAGGCAAGTAGAAACCATGTCCTGAGGGAATAACAAAATTGCCTGAAAAACTAATTTATCCAAGTTAGTAAGAAATATATCTATTAATGGATTTAGTCATCAGAATTAAACATTAATCCAGTGTTTCAGTGAAGTATTAAAAAACCCCTTGAGTTTGCATTTGCATCCAGCTAACATTTATCCTATTTAACATAGTATTGGTTCACATTTCCTCTTCATTTCAATGAAGAAAATTGTTTACTGATAAAAATTTACTTATAAGAATGTATCTCATTCTCATCCTGTCCCTAGACCAACTTACTTCATGTGAAAGCCTAGACACTTCAATACATTTCTTGTCTCATTAGGAAGTAATATTGTTATGGTTTGAGACTGGTACGATGCCAGTGCCCCCCCATGAAAATGCAATTTCTCAACTGAATGCTGTGAAATGTGATTGAGAACAGAGCAAAGCAAGCCTAAGTTTAATAATAAGAAAAAAACTTTATTAAACTACTACCACTATGCTACTATAAAAGAGGGGGGAAAAAAGAAACACACACAATTTAAAATGAAAACTTTCTAAAGCATTCCTTCTCTCACTACCTAACTCTAACAAACCACAGTGAGACACAATCTGGACCCCAATCAGGTTTCTACCCTCCAGATAATCAACACCCAGTCCATCTGCAGGGAGAGAGGAGTCTCTCCTGTGCCACAGACCCCTTAAAAAACACAGCTGCCACATCCTGTGCTTCCATGTCACCACATGGCACCACCCAGAGAAAAAAGTTTGCCAGTGGTGACCCTCTCCTTTTCATGCACAGTGCTCCCACCACCAACGCATGGATGGACAGACTGCTTTTTAGGATTTTTTTTCTTTTAAAGATGCCCTGCCAAGAGGGGAAAAAACAACAGTTCAGTTTTTCATTTTTGGGACCAACAGTCCCCCCCATTTTCCCCTGGGGCCGAGGATCTAAGAACAGAAATCTTCTTCTCTTCTTCCTCTGCGAAGACAGGGGGCACTACCACAAACTTCCTTTTTTTTGTTCGCTCCACTTCTGTCTTTTCCCAGCTGAAGCATGGTCTCTTTGGCTCACCAGCATCCTCTTAAAATACAGTCTCTCTTGGAGGAGAAGATTAGTTTAATCTGTGGCTACTAAGAAAAAGTCTAGCTAAAAAGCCACTCTATCATCTCCTCCCACTTAGAATTTCTCCTTCCAACATCCCAGGTCCCAAGTTGTCTCTCTTCCTTTCTTTTCAAACTAAGGAGGAGAAAAATTTTACAAAGCTTTCATTTCTCAAGGAAGGGTTAAAAGTCCCAACTCCCAAGGATGGCTCGCTGCCCAGGCTCCAGCTCCCACAGGCGGCTGGGCACCTTGCGGCCCCCCCGCTCTTCTCCTTCCCTGCGGTAAGCTGCTAGCAAAACTACCACTGTCTCTTTTTCTCTCTTGAAAGACAGAGACTCTGAAAAGAACAGAGACATCCCAGATTTTCTCCACCCTTCCATCTGCAGGGGGGTTCCAGTCCCTCCACCCTTGGGCCTACCTCCGATGGCCACATGGCTTCTCCCCTCCCCAACCCAGCTCGTGGCCGGGCAGGGGAGAGTCCTGCACTGACCACTGACCGGAACCCAAGAGAGCAAGTTTTCCTGAGAATTCTGCTTTTAACCCCTCTGTGTTCTCAGAGGCGTGTCTGCCTTCAATTGGTCAATGTCTAAATTAACCTCTTCCTTCCAGAAAAATTCTTTTTCCATGTCAAACTACGACAAATATACACCTAGCAGTCACAGCAAGCCCTCTTCTCCCACAAAAACTCCCATGATTGTTTCACAGATTTCTTCCTGTCCTTCCACTGATTAAGAAAATGTTCTGACATCACTCTACTGGAAAAAGGAGAGACTTTCCAGCCCTCTGTAGAAAAAAGTATCATTATCAAGAAAGTAATGAACAAGAAGGAGACCAGTTGTTCAGCCTCAAGAACAAGTGAACATAAAAAGGGAAGCTAGAGCTACCAACCATGTTCTTAAGATGGTATTGCTCCCCAGCTCCCTGGCCTTTGCTGCATTTTGAAGGGCTAACTAAAGATCACATTTAGTATCTCACATTCCAGTCCTGAATGATCAGGTGACATTTATCTTGCCCCATGCCCGCATTCACAGCAACACACAGAAGGTTCAGATAAAGAAGAAACAATTGTCCCTCGCCTCTACACAAAAATTCATTTCTTTAAATTAACAAATGATGAAGACTGATGCTTAACTCCCCCTTCAGTTGACACCTTCAGCATACCTTCTCCTGCATGAAGCAAACAAAGAAGAGTATTACAAACTATTTTTCTGACCATTTTTGACATGTAAACCCAAATCTGTCCAGACACAACAGGTATAATATGAGACTGAGCTTTTGTGGAAATAAGACATTTTGCATGGGATATAGTTGAGGTCCCAGAAAAACCAGAAGCAAGTTAAGATCTTCAGTTTAAGGCAGACCCTGACATGAAGGGTTAGAAAAAAAGGTAGACTTACTATAAAAAAACCAAGTTCAAGTCTGAGAAAGTCAAAATGCAGAGAAATACAATAGGCCGAGAACATTTTGGGTTCAATACTGGAGAGGAGGTGAAGGAAAGAATTGTTTTATTCCTACTTAAGCATCAAAAAGCCCCCTAATTTGGATGGCTGATCCCTTTTCACACATAGCTGTGGAACCAGTAATATTACAGACCACCATGGCAAAGACTTCTCAAGAGAAAAATTTATGGTAGCAAGAGGGAATTCCTTATCCAGTCAGGATTAAGAGAGTTCATCATTGAAGTTTACTATAATTCTCCACAGATAGGAAAGGGAAAAAAAATTAGCTCTGCACACAGCAGTGTTTCCTTCATCCAGAGGTCTTTGGACTTGGAAAGCCTCATCCAACAGAATACTTCACCAGGTGCCTGACAGACTCAGGAATTTATTCTATTAGTATTTCCACTACCAACATCTGTTAGCCAAAGAGATAACAAACAATAAGCATCATCTAATTCCCTAAGACAGAGGGAAAATTACATCAATACTTACATCTGTGAAAGTATTATCATTTCTATGGGGAATCAGCTGCTGGTGGCCATTGGGTGCTTACCACTGCTGCTCAACAAACAGTTCATTACCCAGTAATAGGACAGAGAACAAAGATGTTATTCCTAATGACTTCCAACCTTCATTTCCATAAGCTACTTGTGAAAGGCCTATAACAGATAACCAAGAAAAAAAACCTTTGTTCTGAAATTTTAAGCACAAACCCATCATACAGAATTTTGAAATGAATGCAAGAATAGTCAATTTCTGAAATAGAAAATAGGTGAAACCTGCTGCACACCATCTTGATCTAAGGTGGCATAGCTCTAAAATGTATCATTTCTCTCCTGAAAGAAGACATCACACATGGAAGACCACACTCAAATCTGCATAATTGCCCATTTGTAATAAGGCTGTGTTCTGCAACTTGTACATGCTTCAAACACTTTTCTGCAGCTGTAGCCTCATCAGAATCAAACATGACCTTCTAAATTTGTTCTAACTCTTCTAACAGTATTCAGAAACAACACCATTTAAATCAGCAGATCTGCTTGCAGACCAGCATGCTGCTGTGCTGAATAAAAAAGATCTTTGCATATATAATTGTTTAGTACTTCTTACTTTAAAATGAGAAAAAGATAGAGGCTCATATATTAATTATGCCTCCCAACAGGAAAAACAATGTTGTGACTCAAACATGTACAGTTTAGTTTAAAAGAAAACACCAAAACAAAAACACCTTTTTTGTTAAAAGTATTAAGATTTCAAGGAATATAAAATTATGTTTGTCCTCTACATGTAGAAATACACAGAACTGATGGACTGAATACCAAAAATCTTGAGTCACTAATCTCAAGCAAGCTAGCTATAAATTCTTATGGACTCCTGAAAATAATTACTTAGAAGGCTTCCTCTTCCCTCCACCCATTCATATTACAAATTGAGAGGAATAATAGTTTGATCTCATAAATAAGTCAACAATCCTAAAGAATGGCTGGTCAAAAGACAGCCCAAACTTCTCCTTGAGCTTATAGTTAACATCTTCCAGGCAGGAAAGAAGTTAATTCCCACACTTCCCAAAAGTTAGGAGAGAGAGGGAAGAAATCGAGGCACATATCTGCAAGTCTTACAAAAGCATTTGCAGTGCAAGGATTTACTGGTGGTACACATTCTATTAAGGCTCACCCTCACAAAATCAGTTGAGAAATTGAATGAAAACTTAGAAACTTGCTGGACTACAAAAACACTGTTTGAATAAAGAATAAATTTCTATTAAAAATTGTTTTTAAAGGGTCGGATTTAAATGGAATAATTAAGTTAGTCTGTTTTCAGCTTTTATATAAGCAAAATGAAAATTCAGATCAGACACAAGCAGGAAGTTCTATATGAAGCAGGTAAAACATGATCCAGGTGCAATGTCAGCAAGTGTTCTCAAGGGAGGACTGTTTATTATCAACACAAATTAGCTTGTTGGAATTTTCAAATTCTTTTACCTACACACATTTACCTCCCCCAGGAACATTGATGCAGCACAGCTTCTGCGGGCTGAGCAGCTGAGATTCATGACCTGAAGGATTTCTTTTTGTTTCCAAGTGACACATCAAGTGTGTGAAGAGGGGGTAAGTATCTCAACAAAGGCAATGTTGTTTGTACTTCAACACACATACATAAAACAGCTTCAGATTCGATTTGTTCTAGTCCTTGTTATCCTTCTGTCTCACATCTCTCAGAAATCTCTGCCCAAACACCAATGTGAAGCAAGAAACTAGTCTAGTCAACCAACAGTGCTTTCCTGTTTTGGGCTAGAATAGAGTTAATTTTCTTCTTAGTCACTGGTACAGTGCTGTGCTTTGGATTTAGTATGAAAATCATGATGACAACACATTGATGTTTTTCTTTGTTGCTAACGAGGGCTTACCTTACATCAGTGACCGTTCAGTTTCCCAATCTCTGCCAGCAAGCTGATGCAAAAGAAGATGGCAGGGAGGAAAGCCAGGACTGCTCTTCAGAAAGAGTCAAGACTTGCAGTTTTTTCAATTCCTTTTCTAATGTGAGAGATCATCACTAAACCCCTGCAATATCATTATGAAAGTATGAGCTATCATACAGACAACAGCTAATGTCTTTAAAATTAGGTAAAGTAAGTAGCAGATTATAGCTCCACAGTTATCATTGCTCCTTATTTTCCATTCTGTTTTGCAACATGTATCTCCTACCTCTCATGAATTCCAAAAACTCCTCTTTTAGAAAGCAACACATCTAAACCAGCTCTCTTCCCACTTTCAACACCAGGCAAAAAGGAAAGTACAGTCATTGCAAGCATCTGCTGCTTCTTCCAGGCTGTTTCTGGTAGAATAGATTAAAAGCAAACACACAAAGATTTCTCAGCAAGAAATTCTCACAGAACATGAATTAAAGAGATGACTTGGTGGATGGAATGCCAACCTCACTTAAAAGCAGGAAACACAAATATGAAACATCACTGTTATCAAATATTTATTCCTGTAAGACCTCAGTGAGGCTACACATCACTGAAAATGGTCCCAGCTATTAGTCATTCAAATTTTCCCACTTCAAAAGCAACTCGCTGTTCATCAAAAAGCTTCTTGCCGCCTGTCAGACAGACCCTAGAACAGCCAGCACAGTAAGACACCAGATCACCACTTTTTTTAGAAGTGGTTGAGGACTTTCAAATAGGAGGATTAGAAGAAATTTTGCTCTGGACACCTTCCCTTCCCAGCTTCTTTTTTTTCCAAAAAATTGTAATCAAAACAACCTTTTGACATAATTTTCAGATTCATGAAAGATTTCAGGTTTTCAGTCATTTCTCCCAACAAATCAACTCTAACATAACTTTTTTTTCATTCTGAAATCAGCATAAAATAGCGACTCAAAAATGTTACCATGCAAAAACATGGGTTTAAAAAACAAATTATTTCAATATATTTGAAATGGAGAATTTAATTCTTCCCCCTTCCATAAATCAGTAAGGTCAAAACCGACTGTCCTAGATAGCTGTTATTGCAAATAACCACTACATCTGTTTTATTTTCATGAGGCAAAAACTGCACTCATTGTTTTTACCTCTCTGCCAGAGACAAAAGAAAGAACTTCAGAGTCCTGCTCTAAAAGCCAAGCTGAATTCTTTGCAAGGTCTGCATCCTTCACCAGCAAGCAGAGACTCAGCTTGTGCCTGTTGTTTGAAAAGGGAAAATCCATTGCTGCAAAGGGGAACATATTTAACCAACAGCAGCAGAAATTGAAGGGCATCTCTCAGGCCAGAGAGAAAGTGCTGAAGAATAATTTTCACTTTGCCTGTCCTACATTAATGATTAATTTTGTGACAACTGCAGTAATTGCTGCTCAGCTCCTCATATCTTCATTACAGCTGAGGTTGAACAAATTCAGAATTAAATATTTACATGAAACAATTAAAACCTCAGATTTCTATTGCATACACAATAGTTACTAATTCTAATTACTAACTTGTATATTGAACATATACCTTGAACTAAACTTAAGGCTTGCAACCATTCCATACATATATTTTCAAAATATGACAACCCCACACTTTTTAAAATATTTATCATAATAAAAATCCTCTTTGTGCCATTTCTAGAAGTTCAGCTTTCAAATATCTATCTTAAGTTTCTAAAACAGGAAATTAAAAGTAAACCTTGTACTTTAAGACACCAACCTGTGTTTTATAAAGCTTTCATTGGAAAAAAAGCCTCTAGTCCAAAACACAATCATTTCCCAAGACATTATGCTCCCTTAAAACAAAATGTAACCAGAAAAATATTCATTTAAAATCCCTTATTATATGACCATTTTGTGGTATTTTGAAACATAGAAGGGAAATTATTACAGTTATAACTCAGTACAGAAACACTGAGGCTCTAACAAGGAGAGGCTTAGTATCTCACTTCTAATAAACTCTTATTTAAAATACTTTATTACTTCTTTGATGCAACAGCCTTCCCATATTCCAAAGAAATGCAGAATTCCTGTAGTAATGTACCATGATTTGTCCCCTGGTCTCTCACTGAGGTACTAGCAGCTTAATAGCCTTCGAAAAAGTCAAACACACTGATTGAGGGCAAGTTTCTCCCTCTAAGTACAGCTTTTTTTTAGCATTCAGAGAACTTTGATAAAAGCACTGGTACAACAGCCAGCAGAAGTGTGCTATCTCACACTTTCTCCAAGAGGGCCTTTGAACTCAATAGTGAATAACTTGGAACTATTTTTACAGAATCTAAAATTTATTGCAAGAAATGAAGAAGGGAACAGCTTAAAAAAAAAAAAAAAAAGAAAAGAAAAAAAGATCACTCATCTGTGGTTTCTGATTCCTCTTAAGTGACATGAAGTATTAAAAGCTCACAGTTCCCTGAACCCTTAGTGCCAATTGCTGACACTCGTGGGGGGCTGCCCCTTCAGCTTCCTGCTTAAAAACCAAGTACAAGTGAAATCCCACGGGAGCAGCCAGACAAATGTAGAAGAATGCTAGTTTAATATAGCGTATCCACTCTGCCTTCTGCATGAATTTACTATCCAACAGTACAGATCAGAAGTAAAGATGCTGCCCAGCCCAGCTGCAGAGGGAGTGTCCCTGAAGCACCCACCCAGACACCAACAACCTGCAGGCACTAAGGCTCATGCTCTGCCTCCTTGCATATCCAAAAACATCGGGTTTTACTAGATGAGGACCATGAGGACCAAGCACCCCAGCAGTACACAGCTGATCAGAAAAGTGACCCATTTCTCAGAAGGAAATCATGAAGTTTTTAAAGTATTCTAAACTTCTGCCCAGTGAAACTTCTAACACCAACTGCACTGCCCCTGGCATGCAGCTGCATGACAAGAACCAGGCCAACAGCAAATGTTATGTCAGGGTTAGAAACTGAGAGGCAGCAACAGAAATATGCTTTCAGTCTTTTCCAGCTAAGGATTTCGTTTCCATTGGAAAGAAAAACCAAATCATTTTGTGGTGAACAATGGAGTTGATTAGCAGGCATATAATTCTGCAATGCAGTGTGTTAATTACCAATAACATATTGAATCAATAGCTGAATGACTTTGTCATAAATCAATACAACTAATCCAGTTGTTCTCACTCATACATAAACATTACAGATGATTCAAAATATGGCTCAAAATTTACTTTGTCGGGGCAGTGTTTTGTGTACAGCCAAAGTCAGGGCAGTGCTTAAGCTGCCTGAGCAGCATCTGCAAATATAGAAAGGAGAATGTTATGTAACCTACACCAAAGCCATCAGGCTACCCTCACACAAGAAATACAGCACTTTACCATCCAAAGTGGCTATCTAGAGGTCTTTGTAAGCTCCAGTGTGAGAGATTTAGATTTCCCTCACCTTATTTATCAAGCAAACTGCTATCAGCTTAGAAATTGAAGGTCATCTTTGCCCTGTCCAACTGTGCAGGTAAAAAAAAAAAAAAAGTGCAGGAAAGCACTGTTGGTTGACTAGACGAGTTCCTTCATCAAGGACCAAAAGTTGCTCCACAGTTTTCCACAATTACAGAAGTTATTCAAGGACATACTTAACTTGTCACCAGTCCTAAGAAAGTGAAGAAACTCATGTGCCTGCCAAATTCAGCAAGGTACATATTCATGTTTATGTTCTGACCAAAAATATCTTCAGCCAACTAATTAAAACATCAAGGTAGCTGAGCAATCAGTGTGATAGCAAACTTCTGCAAAATACTGATTTTAGATATTGAGTCTAACATTTAAACTACAGTCTCATCAGGATTTAGCCAAGGGGAAAAATATCTATTATGCATGACTCTTTGCACATGCAAATCAGAATAGTGTTCACATTTAAACCATGAAGCTAAAATACACTCAGAGTTCCAAATTCCTTTTGGGGATTAAGTTTGTAGAGCATCTTGGTTACACAAAGATTGGGTTCACTTTTCATTGACTTTTTAACAGTCTCATTATGTCATTGGCTCTTTTTGTCCTCCAAAGCCTTTATGTTACTCTTGCCAGATACAAGTCTCAAATATTAAAGGTAAAATTATTGAATATGTGACCAAACTCTTTCATTTTCAGTGTAGTGTACACAGAGCAGAAGAAAGAGGCCCAGAACAGATCTTCAGCATTTTTCCCACAGTGTTTGGAGCTTCAGCATCAATTTCCTGGATGCTCCAGTTTTGAATTCCTTAGCAATATGTTGTAACTTAATGAAGATGCTAATTCAAAGATAAATCAGTGGCCTTACTGCATGTGACATTTTCCATCTTCCAGTACATAAAAACCAGAGTAGCATAATCTGGTTCTGGGGTCCTTGTCCCCAAACTATGCACAGGATACACATAACTGCCTATGCGGGGGTGCACAGATTTCCTACCAAGACTAAAAATACAAACCCAGTCAAAAACCAAAATAGAATTATAAAAGAAATTATGTGTGAACTGCGCTGTGAATCCCTTTGGAAACAATACTCACCTCTGTACACTACTCTAGACAGAGTACAAGAACAGTTATCACTTATAAGAAAATTTAGAGGTTGTCACAAGGAGTGGAAAAATACAGAAAAAATTCTTTTGACAAAACAAAGATATGGTGCAAGCTATATGAAAAGAGGGCCATATTCCA